AAGTATGACAAAACCCTCAACTTGTCATAGGTTTTATAAAATTTTAACAATAAATGCGATAGTTATAAACAAATTAAAAAATGGGCACTTTCCTTGTTTTTTGCAATAACTTTTTTGTTTATTAACCGATTTTAATTTAACAAGTCTCATTTTGTAGATAATTTTATTCCCTACAAGCTGTCTGTGAGTCACTTTTCGCTAAAATTTATGGTTTTCCCTGCAAAGTGAAAAAACTGTTTTTCTCACTTATTTGTTTAAATAGTTAGCTAATAAAAGTTTTTGACTCACGAGATGGGAGATGTCTTGTATTATGTTCCTTTAGACAATTTTACAATAATCTCGCAGATAGGATTTTTTTCAAGTTTCTCTTTTATTTTTGCTAATTTTCCTGGTGTAGATATGTTCACTCCTTGTCGTTCGGTACGTATTAAAAACGTAGTAAAAACTAGGTTAGTGACCGAATAATACGATAGGTCAAGATCCATTTGAAAGGTCAGTGAAACTGAGATAACAGATCTGAAATTTTGTTTTCATTGTTTTCCATTAAAAATGTCAGTGCGACTGCCTTTTGTAAGGAAGAGTTGTCGAGGAAGTGTTAAGAGTTTTGTTTTCTTATGTAGAACTAATGTTTTTATTTTTTATTACTGACGGTGAAAGTTGTGTTTCTTATGATTGTCATCAATCCCAATTAGATTTACTATCTTGATCTATTGCACTATCAGAATAGAAACATAAGACTGCGTTTTAAAAAAGTTTTAATAGGAAAATACAAATTTTTTACAGGTTTCGGAATTCTATTCATTAACTACAGAGGCTCGATCGGTTCCGGACAAAGTAGTGTTGAATTTTTGTTGGGAAAAATTGGAAGGTCTGACGTGGCCGACTGTATAACCGCAATAGACAAGGCACTCGAAACTTTGCCCTGTCTTGATCCCTATAATTTAGCCCTATTCGGGGGTTCGTATGGAGGTTTCCTCGTTACCCATCTCAGTGGACAATACCCAGAAAGATTCAATTCCGTCGTGGCTCATAATCCTATTATAGATATGGCTTCCATGAATTTAATGTCTCATATACCCGACTGGTGACTCTCTTCTGTTTTTTTCCAATATTACAGGTTTCTAATCGCTCGTAATTGCAGGTGCTATGTAGAAGTCGGCGTAGAATACACCCAACGGGGTAAAATCGATAATGATATTCTAATTGCCATGAGAAAGGCATCCCCCATCGTGCATGCACATAAAGTTAAGGCGCCGACATTGCTGCAAATTGGTACGAAAGACCTAAGGGTACCTTCGCATCAGGGAACTGAATATTATTTGCGACTTAAAGCTAACGGAGTGCATACCAGGTAAGTGAAACTCATTTTTCAATCTGCCATAGGCCCTCATTTCAAGAAAAAAGTTAATTTTTCTGAAATCACTTGAATAATTTTAGATTTGTTAAAAATTAAAAATGTGGCGAGAATAAAATAATATATACTTACATAATATATATACAGGGTGATTCACAACTTATCCAATAAAATTTGGGAATAGATGCGGCATGAGAAATGGAGTCAATATTGTAAAAAAAATTTTGTAAAATCCTTATAGTTTCCGAGAAAAATATTATTGAAGTTATAGTACATTCAACCACTACATAGCTGGACAACTGTAGTCTCTAGCGTCATTCGCAATACACGTGGAGAGCACGTGGCTTCAGCGACTCCCAATATTGAAATCGGATTTTGCAATCGTTGTTGCCATAGTATTTACCTGTTATCTGTACTATTGTAAACACCTACAATAGTTTTTTAGTAGTTAATGTCAAAAATGGGTAGTTAGTGTCAAAAATGGTTTGCGTGTACAGCAATTCGGAGTTGATGGATATCGTTTTAATTTATGGTGAAGCATTTGTGTTATGGTGAAGCAAGACAACATTTGTGTTAGTTCGTAGAAACTGAGTAAGACGGACCCAAATGTGTTAACACGTTGATGGATAAAATTTTGAACAATTGTTGTTGTAACATCGGGTATGTCAAATGATTTTATTATTTAAAAACACAAATTAATTTTATTAATTAATAAAGGCAAAAGCAGTTGAATTTGCCGATATAAAATAGGTGCGATAAAATTCTATTTACATATTTCTTTCCTTGCAAAAGTTTTTGTCCGTTTTTATCACACCGCCATGCCGGTCGCATTGTGCTAGGTCAGGTTTTACAGTGGACCAGTTTCCAGTGCCGTGCAGAAGTGTATTTTTAAATCATTTTCGAACTGCCCTTTTTGATTTTTTCGTTACAAAACTGAATTTGTATATCCAAATTTTTTTTGGATAAGTTCTGAATCACCCTGTTTATACAAATCTTTATAGTATGTTCAATAATCCGAACGATTCGATAATACGAACGATGCCTGACTATTTTGTATAAAAACTGGAAAATTTTGATGACAAATTCGATCAATTTTGTCTTCCTCTACAAAATGTCCAATTTGCACAAAAAAATAAACCTATGTTTCCGGGAAAAGTAAATTTTGCTGACATTTTGCATCTGCCAATTTCGGTCAATCCTATGTATGGAGTATGCTATATGTTATCGACTTAAAAATAGATGCTCTTTCCAAAAATGCAATAATATACAAGGTGTAACTGAAATAAGTATTCAAAATTACTGAGCTTGTAAAACAAGTCGAAAAATGACGAAAACTTTAGTACAATTTTTGTCAGTGGCGGCTCCTAAGGGAGCTACGCTCTCCTAAAGGGGTAACCTCGGAAACAGTTTTTAATGCGTAACATCCAAACGGCTCGACATTAAGTCACGAAATTTTGGTGAGACATTAACCTTGACGTGCTTAATAAGTCTCATAAAATACATTTCAAAATTTGCTACAGGGGCGTGAGAAAATGCAGGACCCAGGGACAAATTTAATCATATCTTTTTTGTAGTCAATTTTTTCTAGTTCCTGACTCGAAAATATTGAAATTTGAAGTATTTAACATAAAAAAGGTCCTCTTGTTAAATTTCACTAGGATGTGCCGTTTTCCAGTAAAATCGATTTCAATCATTCCCAACGTGCTCCAAATTCAACTTTCATTACATAGCAAAATAAATTAATTGCAGTGTGCCATGGGGAAAACAACTAGTCTGACAGTTAACAGAAATGTCAAATATTTTTAACACTCTTAATAGTAACAAATAAAAATATGGTGATATAAATAAAAGCTAAAAAATAGATACATATGAGATTATTTATTAAACTATTGTAAGCGGCTGAAACTTTTACGTAACATTTTAACAGATTTAAACCATTTAGTTTAGTTTAACAAATTAACCAAATATCTTAATTTCTTTAGCAGAAAGTGTGCCCTAGTCAAGAAGACAGACTAGATTCAACTTTCAAAATGTCCGCCGTTTGTCCTAATGCACGCACGTAACCTGTTTTCCAAAGAAAATAGGTTCCGGTATAGTTTGTGCTCCACATTGAGTTCATTAAATGCATTTTCTATACGCTGACGCAACTGTTCCTCATTGTCAACAGCTTGGAAATACACATTTTGTTTCATTTGACCCCACACGTTAAAATCCATTGGGTTGAGGTCCGGTGACCGTGGAGGCCAATTTATGGCAGCATCATTTCCTCGGCCAATCCAGCGATTTGGGAAGTGCTCGTTTAACCACTGTCGACATTGACGGTTGAAGTGAGGAGGGGCGCCGTCATGCATGTACCATAAGGAACCTCGTCTTACCAAAGGAATATCCTCTAAAAATTCATACAATCTAGTAGACAAAAATTGATGGTACATTGCTCCGGTTAAATTTCCAGGCATGATGTGATATCCAAATAGATTATTTCCTAATGTGGCAGCCCAAACATTTATTTTAAATGAATGCTGATAATGGGTTACCTTCCGAGCATTAGGATTTTCTTCGGCCCACATATGTTCATTGCGCATATTAAAAACACCGCTTCTGGTAAAGGTAGCTTCATCGGTAAAAATAATATTCGATAGAAACATCGGATCTTCGGCTTGCCTGTCTAAAACCAACTGACAAAACTGTCTGCGCATGGGCCTGTCATGTGGTAAAATGTCTTGGGCCTGTCTATAATGATAGGGATACAATTGTTGTTCTCTCATTATCCTCCATACTGTCATATGAGACATGTTATTTTGAACTGATAGTCGTCTTGTACTAAGAGTAGCGTTAGCTTCAACTAAATTTAAAATATTTTCCTCATTCAGGACATTTCTAATTATTCTACGCCTGCCTCTCTCAAAATTGTTCCTTTTTAACGTACCCCGTTCTCGCAAACGCCTTTCTGTGCAAAGAAATGTTTTGTAATTGGGCACATTTCTGTTGGGGAACTTTTCACCGTATCGTTGTGCGGCTGCTCTTGCGCTTCCATGACATTCACCTAACGTCAAAAGCATATCTACATACTCAGAAAATGTATACTGTTGCATTTTTAAATTATTTGATATTTTTATTTACTATAAAACGGCACTGCGAATACTCAAATGACACAAATTTGAAACTAAAAATACTTGACATTTCTGTTAACTGTCAGACTAGTTGTTTTCCCCATGGCACACTGCAATTAATTTATTTTGCTATGTAATGAAAGTTGAATTTGGAGCACGTTGGGAATGATTGAAATCGATTTTACTGGAAAACGGCACATCCTAGTGAAATTTAACAAGAGGACCTTTTTTATGTTAAATACTTCAAATTTCAATATTTTCGAGTCAGGAACTAGAAAAAATTGACTACAAAAAAGATATGATTAAATTTGTCCCTGGGTCCTGCATTTTCTCACGCCCCTGTAGCAAATTTTGAAATGTATTTTATGAGACTTATTAAGCACGTCAAGGTTAATATCTCACCAAAATTTCGTGACTTAATGTCGAGCCGTTTGGATGTTACGCATTAAAAACTGTTTCCGAGGTTACCCCTTTAGGAGAGCGTAGCTCCCTTAGGAGCCGCCACTGACAAAAATTGTACTAAAGTTTTCGTCATTTTTCGACTTGTTTTACAAGCTCAGAAATTTTGAATACTTATTTCAGTTACACCTTGTACAGGGGTTCCATTTAAAATAAGAAAGTGTCCACTTCCAGTATAACGGTAAGTACGATGACCTTGGAAATAATTTAGCTTGGTAGGCCCCACGGTCCGTATAACACCGTCACAATTTGGTGGGACACCCTGTATACTGAGCCTTCATAAACGATTACAAACCAAGCGTCTGCCAAGAGTAGGCAACCAACAGTGCACTGATAACTACGATACTGCGGGAAACAACTACTGTGCTGGCTACATACCTCATCTAGCATTGAATTACACCCCTAATACAGTGCGGCTAGATTGAGTGATCTATTGCAAATTGTATTACATTTGGAAATTTTTCGTAATATTTGAACCCACC